TTTATCCTGAATGCTGTGCGCAGCCTGCTGGTCGTCATCGCCATTGGCATGAATTGGAGTACTGTAGGCGGCGATATCATCTGTTCAGTCCGGTTCTGCGTGGTAGCACGATTCTTGAGCCTCCGCTCTAAGAAGGCAATGTGGAGCTCTTCCTTCATGATCTCGGCTTTGGGCCCCAGCCTGTGGCGAGGAATGATGTCGGAGGCGACGTCGCCAGCGAGGTCCTCCTTGCGAAACCAGGGTGCTTGGTATCTGTTCCGTGCCGCTCGAGCAGCTGCTGCTGTAGCAGACGTCCATTGTTCAAGCAGTGGCGAGGCGTCCTAGCTGCCCCATAGGCCCACCAGAAAATATTCGAAGAACCTCTTGGGATTTGCGCGAAATGGTCTTAAAACATGTTTGGCCGATGTTGTTTTGCTTTAACACATCGGGTGTTTGTTCTAAGGGCATTAATTGTTCCTAACAACATTTTGGGGTTCTTAGAACATTCCGTGGTAGGCCCATAGGAATGCCGTGACGGTCGGTCCCTGCTCAAACGGTGGAGCAGTCGGCGCGGGTGGTGGGGCTGGCCAGGCCGTTCGCGCGATCACCGGGTTCAGCCGCCAAGGTGGCGCGGGGTCACGTGCGTTGCCCAACCCTGGCGGGGATGGGTGGCGCGGGAGGATGAGTCAAGCATTGGCGAAGCGTCTTGGCTCGCCTATAAAACCACCAAACCGTGTTCTAAGAACCTTTTGTGGTTTCCACGAAATTTTCTTTGGACATTTGAGGCTGGGACTGTCTTGTTTGAACACGTCAGGTTTATGTTCTAAGAACATTCATTGTTTTTTGCTCTTAGAAGGTATTTGGGTTCTAAGAGCATGTCGTGGTAGGCCTATAGGAATGCCGGGACGGTCGGTCCCTGCGCAATTGAGGTTCGTCCGTGGTGCCTCGCCAAGGGCTCTCGAGGGTCGCTGCCGCCCATCCTGGACGGCCTTCCAGGGCCCAGATCTACACTTCAGGCCTCCCAGATGGGGTCCGAGCAGATGGAATCGGAGGATCGCGCCGCATCGCGATGCATCGGCGATGCGGCTCGATGTGGAGCCCGATTTTCTCCACGCTGGCGTCGCCAAAGCATCGCCCACGTCGACGATGCATCGCCAGTGCATCGCCAATGTATCGGCGATGCGGCACGATCCTCCGACTCCATCTACTCCGAGCCCACCTGGGAGGCCTCTATACACCTACGAGGCAGGGCTTTGGAAACAATTTGCCCCCCCCCCCCCACACACACACACACACACACACACACACACACACACACACACACACACACACACACACACACACACACACACACACACACACACGCTCGCACACACTGCTCTGGGCAACCCGCTCATGCGCATCGGTTCTGATCTTGTCTCGCTGCGTGATCGCTTCGTGATCAGGGGCAGAGGCTGCCCTTCTCCAACAGGTGGGGTGGGTGGGGCGCGCGAGAGCGCAGCGCTTCCCGCGCCTCGCACCAACCGCGCGGCGCGGAGCGAGCGCTCGAAGCCTGGCTTTTGCTCCCCTCTTTTCCGCCCCTGTCCAACAACGCGGCCTCCAAGGGCACAGACTCAGGCCTTCCAGGTGGGGTCCGAGGGGGTGGGGCCCAGGGATCGCGCCGCATCGCCGATGCATCGGCGACGTCGGCGTAGAGAGAGTCTGGCTCCACGTCGAGCCGCATCGCCGATGCATCGGCGATGCGCCGTGAACGGAGCAGCGGTCCGGATCGTTTGCTCAGCATGTCGCGCCGCCAGTCCTGGCCCACCACGCTTCGGCGCGACACGCTGAGCACGTCCCTGTCGCCAGGCGCTTGGTGTCGCTCGGACGTGTGCAGTTTTCTCGGTGGGGGTTATTGGGGGGCATCCTGGATCATCCTGCGGAAAAAACCACGCACGAAACCGACAAAAAACACAGGGGATGGACGTCCGAGCGATGGCCAGGGCGTCAACGTCCCGAATTGTCCCTCACCTCCGGCTCTGCGGAGCGGAGCGATACGCTGTCCGCTTGCCAGGCTTAGCCTCTCGCTGGGGCCGCTGCCGCGACACGCTAAGCACAATATCCCGACCGTGTAGTCAAATACACCCCACTCCCAGAAAAAGAGAGCCATTTCGCTGGGAAGTGGAGATCCGTGGCATAGGATGTCAGAACGGCGAGGGAAGGTGCCGTCGCCCCAGCCTTAGTCTGAGTGGTACGCGCTGCCGACGTCTGCCCGTCTAGGATCGGCAGACCTGCTCGCATGTCGTCGTCCATGGCCACTGTTGCTCAAACGCAGCGAGACTCACATCAGGTAATTCATCAGTTGCGCAGTAGGCATCGCCCCGAGGTCCGCACAACTCAGACCTCGCAGCTGCCCAGCGCGCAGCTTGCCCCCAGCCTGGCGGAGATGCCGATGCAGCCGCCGCCTCGCCAGAGCGCTGGCCACCCTGCCGCCCACGCCTGGCCGCCCGGTCACCACGCGGCTTCGGAAGAGTTTAAAGCGGCACAGACAAAGTTGTCGAAGGTCCGCGTGGATGTCTCAGGTCTGCGTTGGACCCCCCTGGCAGCACCGCTGGCGCTGCCCCTGGCGCGAGCCGGGGAGGGGGGTCCATCATCGATCCAAGAAGTCCGCTCGGGGCTCCGAAAGGTCCTGTTTATGCAGTTTTGTCTCCTTCTAGGCTGGCACCGTTGGCGCGGCCTCGGTGGAATCTCGGTCGCAAATCATGGGTATGTCCTCGCAACTCCATCTCTAGAGTGCACTAACGTACACCAACGTCCGGCAATCGAGGGGAAGGCGCCGACCCAGCATCGATTAGCGTCGATGTAGCCTCGACTGGCGTCGGTGTAACGTCGACCAGCGTCGATTCGCGTCAGCCAGCGTCGACGAGCGTCGATTCGCAAGAGCCAGCGAGTCTGCATGGGAGGCTCCCACGAGTTGCTGCCGAAGGTGGAATCGCTCGTCCCCCTGTCGGTCGGGAGCCTGCTGCCCCCGACCGCCGCGATGCGGGCCCCCCCATGCTCGGGCCGGACGACAGGGGGGGATAGGGAAAGGGGGGGGGTACAAACTCTGCTCCACGCAGCTGGCTTCGGCCCTGCCGCCGGGCCCATTCCTCGATGCGTGGGCGCCTCCCGGCGCCGGGAGGCGCCGGGAAAATCAGCCGCGTGAGCTGATTCTCAAGCCCCCCCATTTGCCTTGGCATCGCTCGGGCGTGTGCGTTTTTTCCTCGGCGAGGACCATCGAGGAGCATCCTTGATCATGTGGCGGGAAAACCACGCACGAAACCAGAAAAAACACAGAAAATGGACGTCCGAGTGATGGCCAGCTGCCATCCCCCCCTTCCTTTCGCCCGGCCCGGCCCGTGCTCGCCGCGGGCGCTGGGCGCGTCCGCCTCGAGCGCCCACGCGCGCGGCCTGCTCGACGCCCGGCCGCTGCCCACGCTGCTGGACCCCCGGGGAGGAGCAGGCGCGGCAGGTTTCGCGCCCTTGCGCCGACGCGTCGGCGGCCCCGCCATGGACGTTCCAGGTGGAACGCCGTGGGTTACCAGCCTGGAACATATCCCTATCCCTGTGCTGGGCACCTCCTCATCACGATGTCAATCTTAGGGATTCCCTTATTTTTTGAGGGCGAATCCCTAAGATTGTCATCGCCTTTTGGCGTGTCAATCTTAGGGATAGGGATACGTTCGAGGCTGGTAAGTTGGTGACCTCGAGTCAGCCCTCGGCCACGCGCAGACCCAGAGATCCAACGTACTGAAAACATCAAGGCGGAGGTCTGTCCCCAATTTCGGCCCCTATAGGGGCCCTCGCCGGGCCTCGGGACCGTCAAAAAACGGCTCGGGATGAAAAGCCGGTCCTGGGGAATGGGTCGAGACTTCTGGAGACCGCGCAGTGAAAAAAACACGACATGGGATCTCTGGGGAGGGGGAAAGCCTTTTTATGAGGAGGCTGGTTTTTCGAAGGAGCGGGCCTTGTCTGTAGATGCAAAACCAGGCCTTCTAAGAAGCAGCCTCCTTCTGAGAAGCCTTCCCCCCTCCCCCTACTTCCTCGTGCGCGCCGCCACGGCCAACATGGAAAGATCTGGCGATCGACAAGCCGCCGATTGTTCGAGGTTGAACGGCCCACTCGCGTCGGGAACCAGCGCATCGGTCGCAACGGAACGAACCCGCCATACTGGTACCGCTACTCTTACCTCGTTCCCTCGAAGAAAAAAATCAGTTGCATGAGTTTGCACTTCCAGAGCTCCGCGCGGCTTTCTCGGATCGACGCTGGGCACCTCAGGAAGTGCCTCCAGCGCCGCCCCTGGAGCGCTCCGCGCGTCAGGGAGGGGGGCCCAGCGCCGATCCAAGACATCGGCACAGGCCTCCGAGACATTTTGTCTGTGCAACTTGTCGTTCCTCTAGCGTTCCTTGCCTCACCTGGGGATCAGCGGTCTCCGTATTCTTTCTTCCCCTAGGACCAGCACGGCCTCGGCGCTTGGGAGGCCGCCCGAAAGGCGGACGGCTCGGCGCAGTGCGAGGTCTCAAGGGCACCTTTCTGGTTTTCGGTTCTCGGCGGCTTCCTGACCTCGGGACGCCTTTCAGCGGCTGTTCCTTGACAACAGCGCTCTGAGGGCTGCCGGGACGGTCGCAAACGGCCTCGCCGATGCAGGCGCCCGCTGTAAACAAAACGCAGCGCCGGGATCTCAAAGCCGGCGCAGAGGAAGGGCGCAGGAGGAGCGCGAGGATGGCCCGGGGCACCCTGGGAGAGCCAGCGCGCGCCTCGGCCACGCCGCCCCCGGAGGCGTTGCAGTGCATCCGCGATGCACTGGAACTTCTCTGTCGCTGACTCCCCCCTGTGAGCCGGTCGCCCCTGGCTGTCCGAGCGGGAGATCGAGTGCAGAGGTGATGTGCCCCCCCCACACATTCCAATTCCGTCGGATTTCCAAAAGTGCGCAGGATGCTCCGCATACTTATTCACGGAACATTAGAATGATGTCATGTTCGCACGCTCGACGGAGAAGAAAACAACGATCCTTATCTTACTCGAACTGTAGGTCGAGGGCGTGGGTGGCCACCAGTGGGCGCTGCTCGCCCAGCTGCTCGACGATCGCCTCTGCGCGTCGCTGGAGGCCGTGCAGGCCCTGGTGCAGGCGTCGGAGGAGCCTCAGGGAGAAAAGGTACCCATACCGCTACACTTCCCTCGTTTTCCTCGTCTCGGGCATCTTGGGAGGCCCTCGTCGCCGCCGCTGGACTCGCTGGATTCACCGTCGGAGCGCACCCCGGGAGAGGTCTGTGGAGGAGCGGTATCGGTACCTTTTGGGTTCCCCGGGAGCTAGGGGAACAAACCATGACACAGTCACACTAACCTCGGAGGTCCGCGCGGATTCCTCGGGTAGGTGTTGCACCCCCCTCCCTGGCGCGTGGAGCGCGGCGCCGCCAGGCACCGCTAGGGCCCCAGCGCCGATCCGAGGAGCCCGCGTGGCCCCCCCCGACTTTGCGTTGATGCCATCGCGTGATCCCCTAGGAGAGGTTGCTGCGCCGCATAGACTGCGAGGCGCGCCAGTGGCGCACGAGCCCTCCGCAGGTCGAAGGGGAAGAAGCGGCATCAGCCTAGTGATAGACCTCTGGAGCTCCACGCGGGCCGAAAGTCACAACAAACAAGCAGCCCAGGCCAACGACAAGGTCCCACCAGCTCGAAACCTACCCCATATCATTATTCTTGGCATCACCTTACCTCGGCGCCGATATTAAAGGATTTCCTCCGTTTCTGTGCGCACATCCCTGATATTGTCATTGCCTTGGGGTTGTTTTTCTCAGGGATGGGGATGAGTTCAAGGCTGGATAGATCCGGCAATGAAGGCAAGAGTACGGCAGGCTCTGGACTTCGATAGAACTCGTCCTTGCGTTCGGTTCTGATTATCCGCGGGAGAGATCCGAGGTACCCAAGGAATCGAGACCTCGGAAGCTCATGCACTTTGTTGTTCCCCGTACGGTCGGGAACTTTTGCGTAGCGTGTCGCGCCGCCAGTTCTGGCCCACCGCGCCTTGGAGCGACACGCTATCCGCTTCGCGGCCCCGAGGCGCCAACGCCACGAGCCTTGCCGAGCTCCCGGCCCCGCGGGCTGCAGCGACACGCGATCCGCTGGCAAGGCACAGCAAGGCGCCGGGGCCGACTGGGCGACACGCTGCCCCAGAGTTCCCGACCGCGGCAGGGCCCCGTGCCAGCGGCTGGCCGGGAGGCCGTGCCGCCCGAGGCCCTGCGCGCCCTCGCGCGGTCAGCGGAGGAGCGGTCGCTGCAACTCGTCGAGCGCGAGGCGCGGGAGAGGCGCGCCGCCCTGCGGCAGCTGGAGGAGCTGGTGGCGCAGCTCGGGGCCCACTGCGTGGCCACCGCGGAGCGGCAGGACCAGAGCCACGGGCAGCTGCTGGCGCTGGTGGAGGAGCTCAGCATCGTTGGATGGCGTTTCGTATTCCGGGCGATAGCGTGCGTTACCGGGGAGCGGGGGGAAGGGGGGGGCCGGTAACGTCAGGGTTCGCGCCGGCTTCGTCTGGGAACGCTTAGGAAGAAAGGTAATTCGAAGATCAGCACGGATCGTGACCCGGTGGGGCGGGGCGGCGGCCATAGCCTGTACTTGCCGCTGTGAGGCGCAGCGGCTGTGGATAGACTTCCAGCATCTCTTATAAGGGGCCAGATTCTGACCCACATCTCCACTGCGCCTCTGGCTTCTGGGAAGGACAACCCGAAGCTCCAACACGCAGTGGATGTGGATACGAATATTGCCCGTCACAGGGGTCGTGCGGCGTTGGCTCGCCGGCGACGCCAGCGATGGCGTTCAAGGTCGAATTCTGCGACGCGGAAGCACCGATGGACACGGTAACGCCATTGGACCGGACTCAATTCAGCTTGGAACGGTCGTGGCCGCGATCGGTTCAAGGTTGAATGATGGACGCGGTGGCAGCAACCTTTGCGCGCGCCGACGCCGCGCGAACCCGCCGTAGGGAGGCGAGTCGGCCAGTGGGGCCCAGTCCACGCCAGTGGGGATAGACATCGGTTAACCTCGAACGGTCTTTAGTTTTGAACCCCTCACACCTTTTCTCTCGGCGGTGAATCGGACTGGTCCGAAAGCCGCCTCCTCCTCCTCCTCCTCCTACTCCTCCTCCTCCCCCTCCTCCTCCTCCTCATCCTCATCCTCATCCTCATCCTCATCCTCCCCCTCCTCCTCCCCCTCCTCCTGCTCCTCCTCCCCCTTCCTCCTCCTCCACCTCCCCTCCCCCTCTCCTCCTCCCCTCCTCCTCCTCCTCCTCCTCCTCCTCCTCCTCCCCTCCTCCTCCTCCTCCTCCCCCTTCCCCTCCTCCTCCTCCTCCTCCTCCTCCCCTCCTCCTCCTCCTCCTCCTCCTCCTGCTCCTCCCTCTCCTCCTCCTCCCCCTCCCCCTCCTAGTACCCCTTCTTGGGGGGGTCCTCCAGGCCCTCAGAGGTTAGGCGATGCTCAGGAGCTGGAGGCCTGCGGCCTGCGCGCGCCGGCGCAAGGCCCGTGCCGCGCCCGCGGGCCGCTGCGGGGGCGGGCGTGCGGCGCCGGCGCGGCAGCTCCCTGGTGCGCGCGGGAGGCGAGCGAGGGCAGCGCCAGGAGCCCCCGGGCGCAGGCAATCAGAGCCCCGAATCATCAGGGGTAGCTCGGGTCAGGGAGATACCTCGGGTTCGTTTTTTTGGGGGAATCCAAGCCCGAGTTGCCCCGGATAACTCGGGCGTCCAGAGCCCCGAATCATCAGGGGTAACTCGGGTCAGGGCTCACTCGGGTTCCTTTTTTCGGGAATCCAAGCCCGAGTTACTCCGGACCCGAGTTACCCCGGATAACTCGGGCGCCCAAGGTAAGGCCGGCGCGTCGGCGACCCTGCCATGGACGTTCCAGGTGAAACGCCCTTGGTGACCCAGAATCGGCAATCGGCCACGCGCAGTAGGGGGGAAGGCTTCTTATGAGGAGGCTGGTTCTTCGAAGGAGCGGGCCTTGTCTGTGGATGTAAGGCCAGGCCTTCTAAGAAGCAGCCTCCGTCTGAGAAGCCTCCCCCCCTCCCCCATATAAGCCCCCCTCTGCGCGCCGCCAATGCTGTTCGGGGCCGGCGCCTTCTATCGGGGGCCCCCAAACGGGGTGGTGACCACACCGTGCGGTAAGTCGGTGGGGATTCGGGGTCACCGCACGGTTTTGGGACTCGGGTCGTTCTCCCAGGACGTCTCGAGCGACTGGGGCCTCCGAGGTTCCAAGACCGTGCGGTGACGGACCGCGCGGGAGGCGAGCGAGGTCAGCGCCAGGATCTCAGGGCGGGGGGGGCAGGAAGGAGAGGACGAAAAGAAGAAAAACGAGGCAGAGAAAGGAGGGAGAGAGAAAGAGGGGACGACACTGAGAGGAGGGAGAACATAAAGAGGAGCAGAAAGGGACAGACAAGGAGGGAAGAAGAGAGCCAGGACAGAGAAAGGAGGGACAGCCCCGGGCGCAGGTAAGGCCGGCGCCTTCTGAGATCAGGGGCAACGACAGGGGGGGATGGGCACAGGGGGAGATCGCGTCGCAAAAACAGCAGGACGGGAGGTTTTTGGCAGTTTTTGGCCTCTGGAGGCCCTCGCCGGGCCTCGGGACCGTCAAAGGACGACTTAGGAGGAAAAATTGGCCCCAGGGAAAGGGTCGGGACATCCGGAACGCCGTCCTGAACAAATGAAGACGTCGCATGTCTGGGATGGGCATAGGGGGGATGCATCGACCCCCAATCGCCCATTGGATCGCCGATAGGGCCCGATAGCCCCAACCTGCCCAGGAAGGTGTGGACTCACGATCGGAGGCCTATCGCCGATCTATCGACGATGTATCGCCGATTCCAGGTCGATGCATCCCCCCTATGCCAGTTCCCCCTATCGTTGCCCCTCATAAGAAGCAGCCTCCTAAGAAGCCTTTCCCCCTCCCGCAATACCCCCATCTGCGCGCCGTCAATGCTGTTCGGGGGCGGCAAAGAGGGGGTGATGTTTAGGGGTGGGGGGAGGACAGCATGGCGCGAGCCATGATATTCCCACAGATTTCAGTACGTCCCCTGCCCTCCCCCTGGGCCGCGCACACGCCGGCCATGATTTGCGCCTCCCCCCTCATGGACGCCCCCGTCTTGGCCGTCCCCGAAAATCGAGCGTTGTGACAGAAGTGCCACTAGTTCGGAAGCACGTCATGGGAGCATTATGTCTCAGAGGAGGACAAGGTAACCTCATGCCCGTGAGAATAAACACTAGGGGATAATAAAGTTCGGGGTTCAGGGAGAGATAATAAAAGTAGCCCAGCAGACCTCAGCATAATCTCGAAGTAAGAGATGATCAAGAGGAGACCAAGCCGAGCACGTTTTGAGACACCCTTGGCGTTTAGTTTTCATAGGAATATCCTCAACAATGGCTTATCTCATAACGACACCAAAGAAGAAGAGGATAATAAGAAGAGGACGAAGAAAGGACAAATCCAAAGTTCCAAATCTATCAATTTTAATTTACAAACGCTTTATGACATTTGATTTTTTAAGTGCTCGTGTAGGGTAGCTCATGTGCTTCATTTTCCATTGATAATCAACCCCAGGGATAAAACAGGTCAGGCGAGCGTGAGGACAGATAGAAATATACAAGAAGAAGAGGAAAGTATAATAATAAAAATAATAATAAGAAGAGAAGAAGAAGAGAATAAGAATAATAGAAGAAGAACGGAAAAATGGAAAGTTCCAAATCTATCAATTTTAATTTACAAGCGCTTTATAAAAATTGATTTTTTAAGTGCTCATGTAGGGTAGCTCATGTGCTCCCCTTTCCATGGATAATCAACCCCAGAGATAAAAAAGTTCAGGCGCGCGCGGGGATACATACATATATAAAAAGGAAGATAATATTAAAAAATATAAATAACTAAAACAACAAACTTGCTTGTTTAGCTTGAAACATCCTTGAGACATCCTTGAAACATTGCTCGTTTCGTTTGAGTCTGCCTCCCAAATTTATTGGTTTCGCTTGACACATCCTGAAAAAGTGTGATCGCTTCGCTTGATGTTGCTATATCAACATCGCTTGAGGTTGCTATCTCAACATAGCGTTTCGAGGTGATAATGAAGTTCGGCCTCAGCGCTCGCCGCCCAATTTGAATTTTGTATAGGGCGACGATAATCAACTCTAAACACTGAAGGGGGGGGTCCCTTTATTATCATCGGCATGCGGTTACCGATACAGCCACCCTGCCTCGTCGCCACGGCTGGATTCGCGTCAAAATCCTGATCTGAACGCACCCCCTGAGAGGTCCGTGGATTAGCAGTATGGGTACGTTTTTGTCCCCCCCATCTCCAGAAAACATAGGGCTTAAGTATGCCGGAACTCGGGCTAGCCGACGTTCTTCGACGAGACCGCCATGGGTTTGGGCGGTGAAGTTTTGGTGCGATGTTTGTTGCAGGAGCTCGTTTCAAATTTCAGGTTGGGTCTCGTCATTTTCTTGACGACCCTGTCAGGCCAACCCGAGTCACCCGAACCCAAGTCTTACGTCTGCCCGACAAAAACAAGTATTACCAGAAGCGCCATAGGTTAGCAACAAATAGTGGGAACCTTGGGTGCCTTCGTAGCTCCGTATTGATGGTGTCGACTAGCGTCTGGTAATCGATGGGGTTGCGCAACTTTAGCGTCGAGTAGGGTCGATTAGCGTCGATCTAGCGTCGATTAAGCGTTGACTCGCAGGTATGGGAGGATCCCATGAGTCACCACAGAACTTTGGCCCAAGGTTCCCCTATGATTTCAAGGAGGCCCCAGTGTACCTCTCACGATCGCCCGGAGGGCCCCGGGGGGCTCCAGGATTGGGCGAAGAGCTGGGGGCTCTGTTGACAAGGGGCAGACTCGGCTAGACGACATTCGGCCAGATGAAATTCGGCCAGCTGAACTCGGCCAGGCTGAACTCGGCCAGGCTGAACTTGGCTCAGGCCGTTGTCTGGTTTCGACGTTTTGGAGGGGGCGGGGGTTGGTCTGGGTCTGGGCCAGTGCTTAGTCGATCTGCTTTCACCAGTCGGTCAGGCAGGCTGGGAAGAGAGGTCCTGACCAGTCGCCAGAAGCAGCCTCCAAGAGCAGCCGCCCAAAGCAGCCAAGATCTGGTCGAACTGGGGAGGGGAGGGAGGGGGCCCTGGGGCCCGAGCCCATCGGCGACACAAAGCGTAAAACACACAGCCACCGGAATTCAGCCTGGCCGAGGTCTCCCTGCCAAGGTCAGCCTGGCCCGGTCTCGCGCTGGCCCTGTCCAGCCTGGCCGAGCTTTCCCTAGCCGAGTCCAGTGGCTGCCATGTTTGGGCCAGGGGCACCTGTCGGCCTCGCGCAGAGGGTGGTAGGGGGAAGGGCTTCGAAGAAGCACCCCCGCGTCTCAGAAGGCGCGGGCCTGGCATGTAGATGTGGGGCCAGCGCCTTCTCAGAAGCAGCCTGCTTCTAAGAAGCCTTCTCCCCTCCCCCTACCCTCCTGTGCTTGCCGCCAAACCTGAGCGACGCAGAAACAGGGGGTCTTCTTCACCGACAATGGAAAGTGAGCTGTTCGCGTGAGATCGCGCATAAGCGCCATCGCTTCCAATGCAGCGTGCCGTGCCGTCGGCCCGCGTAAGCCACCGCGTACGGTCGCGGTGCAATCTCGCGTGAGGCCCGTTCCCTGTCGTCGCTCACGTGTAGCAGCCCCTGGCAAAAGGGGGTCAGGGCAGACGGGGTCGCATGAACGCGCCGCGCCGCCAGGAGCGGCTCGATTAAGAGCCCGGTTCTCTCCCTCACAGCCCTCGGGACGATCGAAATTAATACGGAAAGAAAGGGTACTTAGTGCGTAGCACCCCGCAGTCGCGGATAAGAGTGAGGGGTGGGTCGCGGGTGGGTCCGGAGTTGGCCCGCGGGCGGGTAATGGGCGAGGACGACGACGACGACAACAACAACGCAACAACAACGCGTCAACAATCCGCACCGCGCGGAACCTCACTCCAGCCACGCGCCCAGAGATAGTGAATGACCATTCAGAATGGACCATTCAGCCCCCTCACTCTGACTGACAAAGACCGACAGCATGCGCTGTCCATTTTGAACCGTGGTCGTTGTCGGTGTTGCCGCGGACGTTGTCCATTTGAGACAGAGGCCGCCTGCCCAACAGCGACCGACGTCGGTTTCAGACAATGCTTGTTGTTGGGCATTGTACCGAATCCTTCCTCACCCATCTCGGGCGTCCAAAACTGCGTAGCCGATGCATCGGCGATGCGGCGCGACCCCGCGACGTTGTCTGCGGCCTCCGAGGCAGCCCAAGCTGGCTGAGATGGAGGACTCGTCGCCGGCCACGCCCACGTCGGCCACCACCACCAGCGGCTCCCCCGCCGAGGCGTCCTCTGAGACCACTGGGCTGTCGGTGCCGCTGCAGAGGCCACCGCTGCAGGCGTGGGGCTCCCCGCTGCAGGCTCTCGGGCTCGCCTTGCAGGTGGCGGCGCCCAAGCCGACCAGCGCCGACTAGTTGCCCGTTTCGCTTTGCGGGCATGGAGACATGGTAGGGAGGAGGAGGAGGAGGAGGAGGAGGAGGAGGAGGAGGAGGCGGAGGAGGGAGGAGGAGGAGGAGGAGAGGAGGAGAGGAGGAGGAGGAGGAGGAGGAGGAGGGAGTGGGAGGAGGAGGAGGAGGAGGAGGAGGAGGAGGAGGAGGAGGAGGAGGGAGGAGAGGAGGAGGAGGAGAGGAGGAGGATGAGGAGGAGGAGGGAGGAGGAGGAGGAGGGGGAGGAGGGAGGAGGAGGAGGAGGAGGAGGAGGAGGGAGGAGGAGGAGGAGGAGGAGGGAGGGAAGGAGGGGGGGGAGGGGGAGGAGGGGGAGGAGGAGGAGGAGGAGGAGGAGGAGGAGGGAAGTGAGGCAGTGCACGAGGAGCAGCGGTGTCTGCCCATGTCCCCGTCCAGCGTTGGGAGGTGGCTCTGGCTGCTCGCGCCCCAAAGGGGGAACCGTGCACGCTCGTCCGTGGCCGAAGCTCCAGACCTTCCCCACCTCAACGGCAAGTCGTCTTCCTCATCCTCATCCTCCTCCCCCTCCTCTCGACTTCCCTCCTCCTCTTCGTCTGGATCTCATCGGTCACAGTGGCAATTTGTTCGTGGCTGCCCTATTTGCTCACTCCCGAGCCGTACTGGCAGCCGGCGCGTCGTCAAAAGAGAATCATCGTGATGTCGGCGAGGTGCATGCTTTTTGTTGGGCCGTCGGGTGCGCGCGCCCAGGGCCCCCTTGCACAACCCTCTGGACAGGCAGTGGCAACTTTCGGTCATCGTCGTCATCTTCGGCGTCGTCGTCGGCGTCGACGTCGACGTCGTCGTCGTCGTCTTCCGTCGTCCGTCGTCGTCGTCCGTCGTCGTCGACCGTCGACCGTCGTCGTCGTCGTCGTCGTCGTCGTCGTCGTCGTCGACGTCGTCGTCCTCGTCGTCGTCGTCGTCGTCGTCGTCGTCTTCTGTCGTCGTTGTCGTCGTCGTCGTCTTCTGTCGTCGTCGTCGTCGTCGTCCGTCGTCGTCGTCCGTCATCGTCGTCGTGGTCCGTCGTCGTCATCGTCGGACGGGCTGCAACCGAGGGGCGCCAGATCCTCCGCAATTCCAGGAAGGCGTTCTGAGCCAACCGCATCAGGACACTCGTCTCGCTCTCGATCCCCTCCGCCTCCACCTTATGCATAAGAGTGGCCTCTCGCCGGAGTGACCTGGTGTGACCCACAGAGCCACAGGGCCCCCCCCCCGCCCGGCAGGGGCCCTCTGAGGCCGCGCGGCAAAGGTCACTCTCGCATGCGGCAGGTCTGCGTCGTGCCGACCAATGGCGACCCCATCGCCGGGGCTGCACGCGGAACGCCGCCCGCGGCCCAGAGTCGGTCGATGTTGAACGATCTGAAATGTCGGAAGCGGCCGATCGCTCAAGGTTGAAGGGATCTCCGCGGTGTCAGGAGCCAGCGCCGGTGCCGACATGGCACGACACAGCATCCGTTTCCACCTCTGTCACCCGATGCTCAGCTCCCTCTCCCTCCAGCACCACACAAGTGTGCTCTACAGCATCCGTTTCAACCTAAACTCGATACTCTACAAGCTGCCCGCAAATCCGTATCGTCGACTCCCTCCGTCTCCAACGCCACACCTATGCACTCCACAGCCTCAGTCTCTAACACCACACACGTGTACTAAGCAGGCCTCCTCCTCAAGCAGAGCATGATGCCATCCTTCCACTCCACGCCCTCCGTCTGCAACGCTGCAGCCTCCGTCTGGAACAAGCTTGCGTCTCCAGCACGCCGAGCGCAGCCCGCTGTTCGCCGACACCACCACCGCAACCACCACACCACCCAGAGCTGCGTCCAACCGAGAAGGAGGAGGAGGAGGAGGAAGAGACGAGGAGGGCCACCTCACCCGAGGGCGAAATACCGTTTTCCGCTGGCCCTCCTCCGAGAATAGGCTCCCAGACCCAGAGCCGAGGCACGGCCCAACCGCTGCAGCCGAGGTGCTGATGGAAATGCCACCTCGGGGTGGCCCAGGCCCGCCGTGGCCAGAAGAGTCCCTTCGGTCCTGCCTCGGCACTCCTTTTGGTGGCGCGCCGGCTGCACACGCATCACAGCAGCACGCACCACGCTTCAGGAACCGCACCTCCTACCCGTCTCCTCCTGTGGGGATGACCTACATCCATGTGCACACATGTAGAATTAAGCACATAGCTCTGCACATCTCTCTCCATACTTAAATGCACATGTGCTACTGTTGTATATATACTTATGTGTATGTGTGTACACTTGTACGTACACAAGATCCAGGGTTGCTCCCCACCCCTCCATCCCGTAAATCTGAGATCCAGGGCCGCCCCGCCCCCATCCTTCCCACCAATGCGTATGGGATCAAGCCCCAGCCGCTCCCTCCGCTCCTGCTGGACGGGTACGCCCGTGAGCCTCGCGAAGGCCTCGCGAATGGGATCGCTCCCCCACCCCCGTGGTCGTGGCCCTTTTGAGGTGCCGTGGTGGAGGGTGCGAGTGCGCGCCCCCTCCCTCCCCTCGTGGGTGTGAGGTGGCTCGTCTTCGTCGTCGTCGCGTCGCCGTCGTCGCCGTCGCCGTCGCCGTCGTCCGTCGGCGTCAGCGGCATTGGCGTCGGAGTGGGCGTCGGCGTCGACGTCTCCGTCGGCGTCGGCGCCGGCGTCGTCGTCCCCCTCCCATGCCATCTGGGCGTGCGGCTGTAGAACCCTGGGCCTGCGAAGCTTCGACCCGAGATCACGCACACACGCAAATCTACATCTCTCTGTCTCTCTCTCTCTATACATGTATATGCACGCATGTGTATGTACATGTGCCTGGACCTGTATGTAAGCACGCGTATCTAAATTTCTCTATATTTTCTGTGAGCGCATATCTACATATGTGTGTTTTCATATATATATATATACATACGTGTATGTACACATATGTATATGTGGGGGCCTGGACGGTGTCCACTAGTGTGTCCTGACTCTCCACCACCTAGTGGCACATGGATGGCGGCCCAACTACCGTGTATATAGTTATCCAACTCTTTTCGCTTGGGGATCCAGCCCGAAGATCTTACATTATACGCTATACGCTGTCCTGTGGCTTTTGTTTCGAAGCCCCATGGGACATGACGACATACCTCAGTGTATATGCGCGCGGTTCCCGATAGGTGTGCATGTGTGTGATCGTCGGAGGTAGTTTTCTGCATCTCTCTCTCTCCCTCTCTCCCTTTCGCCTCTCGTTGCCCTCACTGAGCTTACACTTGTTCGACGGCTGCGGTCCTCAAAAGCTTGAGTTCGGGATACTCGCTTGATTCATTGTCGTCATGGCGTCCGCTTCCGCATCTCCTCCCCCACGACGGCGCTGGAAGCAAGTTCTTCTGGCGTCGTCAGGGCCAGGCAGATACCGCATGGCGCACAAGTAAGCAAGGCATCGAGATGACGAGATGCCGCCACGCCCTGCGCTCAAAGATGTTCTTGTCCACGTCCGTCTGGTCATCGAAGTCCGGCAGGGGCTTTACCTTTCCTGCTCTCCAGCTCGTGCCGGTTCGCCGGGTCCCCCACGGCTCAGAGTTGGTACAGACGGGGGCCAATGCAAACGGGGGTCAGCCAGAGCGCCCTATCCTGCAGGATCCTGCAACGCCAGGGGTGCATTGACCCAGGCTAGCGCGCAGGATCCTGCAGGATCTTGCAGGGTCCCGCAAAGACTGACTGTCCTGGGTTTGCACTTGGCCGGGCCAGTAGATCCCCGACGGCCACGCCATCTGAGGGGGAGTCCCCCTGCGCGTCCTCCGCGGCGTTCTCGCCGATCTTGGAGGGCGTCGCCGCGCCCTTGATCGTGTAGCTCTCGCTGCGAGTGTCTGCGGCGCTCGGCGTCAACTCGTGGCGAGGCATTATGGACTTCCTCCTCTTCCAACCCCTGCCCCTGCTGCTCCTCCGTCCCCTCCTCGCTCCACTCCTCCTTCTCCTCATCCTCCTCCTCCTACTCCTCCTCCTCCTCCTCCTCCTTCTACTACTACTACTACTACTACTACTACTACTACTACTACTACTACTACTACTACTACTACTACTACTACCATTACTACTACTACTACTACTACTACTACTACTACTACTACTACTACTACTACTACTACTACTACTACTACTACTACTCTACTACTACTACTACTCCTACTCCTACTCCTACTCCTACTCCTACTCCTACTCCTACTCCTACTCCTACTCCTACTCCTACTCCTCCTCCTCCTCCTCCTCCTCCTCCTCCTCCTCCTTCTCTACTGTAGTCATTTTGGCTCAAGTTGCAGGGCAATCCGCGATTTGAGTGGGCAGCTCCTACGGAGCCATCCCAGGTGTCGTGCCTGGGCGGACACTCTCCCAGTCCCCCTCTCTGTCTCTGCCGCCATGTCGTCGGTCGAGGAAGGCATCAAGCAGATCTTGCAGCAGCTTGGCGGTGTCAACCAGCGCCTGGCCACTGTTGGGTCCTCTATGTCCGCGCTTGACACCCTCCGCGAAAGCATCACGTCTCACGACAGGAATATGGCAACGCTCACCCAGAGAATCAGCACGATCGAGTCTCGCATCGCCGCCTCCTCGGACACTGCCGCCGTAGCCGCCCTTCGCATCCAGATGGAACAGCGCATGGCCGCCCATCGAGTCTTCCCAATCATCGCGCTCCAGTGGCAGTTCTGACCTGTCGGGCACCCCTACTTCTCGACGCCGTACTGGTACGCCTCCGTCTACCGTGGGCAGCAGCGCCAGCCGCACGCATGAGGACGACTTCAACCCGCTCAAGGTCTGGGTCGGCGGCTTCACCAGACCCATGCTCAAGGCCTCGCTCGAGGAGCACGGCAACCTCCTTGTGCAGAGCTTGCCTACCCACATCAGGCAGGCGGGCATCGTCATCAAGGGACACAATCTTGCGAAGAGCTACTCGATTCAGTTCGCCAGCAACGTCGACGCGTCCTCCTTCATCGATCACGCCCGTGCTCAAGGCATTTTGTGGAATGACACTCACTCCAACTCTCAGGTCCAGCTCCGTTGCCGCCGCGATGCCCCAACCTCCGTGCGCCACAAGAACAAATTCTTCGGAAAGATCTGGCAGCTGGTCAATGCACATCTACGTCAGACTGGTCAGTGGAATGACGCCACGCACAAGCTCGGAGTCAACGGTTTCAAGGGCATTCTCTTCTGCGCAGTCAACGACGTGGTCCACGAGCTCTTCTCTGTCGCTGAGCAGGACGTCGGCCAGTTCGAGATCTCACCTCACCCTGTCGGCATCGCCGTCTTCCAGATCTCGACGGACCAGGCCAGCTCGATGATTACAGCAGCGCGCTCGTCTTGAACGGATGCCTCGCCGACCAGGTTTGACCCAGCCCGCGCGGCTGGGATGCGTGTTCCCTACTCTCCATCGCCTACCTCCGCTAGGTGTCTGAGCTCTTCGGCCTCCTCGTCCTCCTCTGGGTCGTCTGGGTCTTCTACTGGTTCGACTTCTTCGAGTGGGTCCTGTTTACCGCCATCCTTTGGTCCTTCATGCTTCTCTCCGTTTCCTGGGGTTTGGACTCATTCGCCGCTTTATCTGGAAATCTCACTTGAGTATCGTTTCGTGGAATGCTCGTTCTCTCTTTGGGGGCATCACCTCGACTCTGGGCATCGTCAAACGAAAAATGTCACGCCTAGTATCCTTTGTCCAGAAGTTCCAGGTGGTTTGCATTCAGGAAGCGAGAGGCACCAAGTTCGACCTCCAGAGGCTGCGTTCTGAAGTCCATGACATTTGGGGTATTGGGTCTTTCTTCGACGACAGGTCTGCGGGAGGTGTCCTCATCTTTCTGCACCCCGATCTTCGAAGCCAATTCCAATACTGTCGCTATTCTGTCCATGTACAGGGCCGAATTCAGTCTCTCACGCTGGGGGGCAGCCGTGGGACTTTGCAGCTTCTCAACATTCATCTCGATCCTTGCCTCGCCCTTCAAAACCAGAAACACCATCTTATGCTTGTCAGACGTGCTCTACTCCCTCCCTCTGCGGCTACGGGCTTCGTCTTAGGTGATTTCAACTTTCCTGCGGCAGGCGAGGGCAGCTTCCATGTCTCAGGCGCTGTGCACTACTCCAGTTCCGACGCCGCCGCCTTCTTCGAGCAGCGCTTCGCAGACCTGTGCGAGGTCGGGCAACCCGCCTTCGCGCACCGGGTGACTCAGGAGGAGGAAGGGGTCCAAGTCGTTCAAAGTTACAGTCGTACCGATCTTATGTAGACAAATATGTTCAGCGCCACCATTCTAGAGTACCACCCCAAGGCCCTTACGCTGGAGCCCATCTCGAAGGTTGGCAAGCTCTCTGACCATGCCCCCGTTTGTTCGACGCTCAGCCCTGGGTCAAGTTGCGGTTTTCGCGTGCCCAGTTGGGTCACCAAACATTCGCAGTTTCCTGTCGCTGTTGACGATTTACTTTCTCTCGTGGGGCCGCTCTCGGACGATCCGTTCGAAAAGCATGCGCAGACCAAGGACATCATTTTACAGGCGTGTAAGGATGTAATCAACTTCGGCGCTGAGCAGACCAACAAGTCGTTATATGAGAAAATTGCCTGGTCTCTTACAGCGCTTCGAGGCGCTCTGCGAGGTCAGCTCTGGCTGGTGCGCAAGGCCGTCTTGGCCTGCCCCGTGCTGAGCCGCTTCCTCGACCCCGAGTCTGCCATGTGGCTAGACGTTAGGAGCTTCCATTCCCGCCTGAACGAAATGAAGCACGAGCTCATCTCTCAGCAAATCACCGAAGTCGAACAACAAGCTATCTCCGACACTCGCAAACGTGACGCCAAAATCAAGCTCTACAAATATCAAACAGCGTGGGGAAGGAAGCATCGGCGCATTTCTCTGTCTGGCGTCCCGGATCCGACTGGCAAGGCCGTCGCAGATCCAGAGTGCGTCGCCGCCGAGCTCGCATCCTACTGGGGCAAACTACATTCGCGCGTTGACTGCTCGGAAGAGGACCGACAACTGCATAGTGAGTTTGTTCAACCTTGCCCGCCTGAAATCATCTGGAAGCTTGAGCCCCAGGAGTTTGCTTGCCTCCTTTCCAGGGTCTCGGGCTCCGCCCCTGGCCCCGACGGCATTCCGCACAGTTGTTATTCCAAGGGGGGGGCCTGCAGTTGTTGACACTCTTTATGGGCTTTATTCGGAGATGCTCGCGAATGGAAACGCCCCTGTCGGTTTTAACCATGGCATGGCGGCCTTCCTCGCCAAGGGCAGCGATCCAGAGGATACCCCCCAGCAGATCATACGTAAGCCCGAGGTCACGCGCCCCATCACTCTTGGGAATTATGATAACAAGTTGGTTTCAGTCGCCCTCAACAGATCATTTTCTAGGGTCGCTGCCCAAACTGTGCTTGGTAACCAGCGAGGTTTTCTCGCTGGCCGTTTCATGAATGAGAATATTATCAACCTTGAGAGTAAGGCGGTGTCTTGGTTTGCCCAATGCGGCCACCAAAACGCGGGGACCATCTACTACAATGTTCGGGCTGCTTTTCCGAGTCGATTGCGCAGTTTCGTCTTGTGGGTTCTTCGGGCGATGGGTGTTCTTTCCTTCGTCACCAACGTCGTGCACGCGTTGTATACTGACGTTCAAATCAACATCCTCTCCAATGGGATCCGCAGGGCCTCCTTCGTAGCCCCCCGAGGGATCAGGCAAGGATGCCCCCTCTCGGGAACCATCTTCTGCCTCGCCCTAGACCCGCTCACCCGCTACAGTCTCACCCGTATCCCCAGGCGTCTCTCGTGCTTGGCAGCTTTCGCTGACGACATCGGCGTTGCCGCTGCTGATGTCTTCTCCGCCTTCCGCGATCTCTTGCCAGCTTGGAAGATCGTTGGCACGGCTGCGGGTCTTCACATTCACCTTAAGAAGTCGGTCATTGTACCGCTTGGCGACCTCTCGCAGGAGCAGTGCTGCGACAGGACGGTTGCTTCTGGCGTGAGGACTGCCGAGGGCCTCACCTTCAAGCGCTGGCAAGTATCTCGGTGCGTTTCTTGGGGAAGATGGCCGAAATGCGAGTTGGGGCCCTCCGCCTATGAAATGTATCTCGCGGGCGCATGCGATCAAACAGGTTGGGGCTGGGCTGTGTAAATCCATTGTCATGGTGAACCTCTTGGCTTTCTCGGTCCTGATGCATGTTGCCCAGTTCTACCCTCCCACGAAGCAGGCCTTCCAGGCTGTTCGAAAAGCCCAGCAGTGTGTGACCAACGCCCCGAACAATGGCCTCCCCCAGAATCTCTTGCAGCAGCTCCGTGAATGGGGTTCCCCGACGCAGGCTCGTTCTCTCGAGGCGGCAAGTCGCGCGGCCATGTGCAGAGCCGCTATCGTGTTGCCCGCGCTTGACGACGCCAGGGCCCTCTTCGAAGATGAGAGCGATGCAGACAACATGCCCGTGATGTGGAAATGGTCTGAGGTGTGGAAGTCGTCTGTTGTGTATGCCATGATTACCAACTTTCGTAAGCTCACGCCCATCCCGTCCGTCCCGCCCTTAGGAACTCCTAAGCTTCAAGCCGTGCCTGAGTCCGCCCTTCTCGCTCTGTCTCCGTTTTCGTTGCGGTCGATTCTTGAGGTAAGGCTTGAGAAGTTCGGCTCGCCTCCGTCTCCTGCCGAGCTTGGCATGATGTACATTGCTCTCAAGCGTCTGCGTAAGCATGCTCCCGCCTGTCTCGTGGCGAATGTCATCCGCACGTTTTGCAACTCATGGTGCACCACCCGCCGTTTCCGTGGTGCTACTCTTAATTGTAGATGTTGTGACATGGCCTCTGCCGATTGTTTGCTCCACATTCTTGTTTGTCCCTGCTTATCTCCCCTGTGTCGTCTTTTTCCCTCGCTTCCGTCTTCTTTCGCTTCCGCCTCTGCCTCCGCTCGCGCCTCTCTTTTCCCGCTTCTTCCTCTTGGTCTTTCTCAGCTCATCAGCGTCGCTTTGTTTGTTGATTCATGTTGCACGTGCTACCATGAAGCTAAATGGTGGCCCCGTGTTTCGGCGCCCCGCGAACGAGAGCGATTGGAGAAGCTGGCTAAAGCCCGCCTCATCCAGCTCCGCAGGCGGGCCCCGTCTGCCACCGTTGCCGCGCTGAGGAGGTGACGTGTCGTCCGCCGTCGTCGGTCGTCTCTCTGGGGCTGTGCACTCCTCCTCCTCCTCCTCCTCCTTCTCCTCCTCATCGTCCTCCTCTTCCTCCTCATCTTCCTCCTCCACAGGCCTCCGCCTCCTTCTCCTCCTCCTTCTCGCCCTCCTCCTCCTCCTCGCCCTCCCCCTCCCCCTCCCCCTTTCTCTTGTTCTCATCCGTTCCCTTTTCGTCGTCCTCCTCCTCCTCCCCCCCCTCTCCTCGGCTCCAGCGCGCCACAACGCTGGAAAATGATGTCTCGTATTACCCCTCCTCCTCTTCCTCCTCCTCCTCCTTCTCCTCCCCCTCCGCCTCCTTCTCCTCCTCCTCCTGCTCCTCCTCTTCCTCCTCCTCCTCTTCCTCCCCCCCTCCACTCACGCCTTCCTCTTCCCAGCGAGCTCTGCTCGGGATGCTCGCTTCTCTTGTTTCCCCCTCCCCTCCTGGAGGTGCCTCCGAGGCCCCGCGCGGCCCCGTCCGAGGAGTCTCGCTCGCCCTCGTTGTCCGTGCGTTGCTGCCCCTCCCTCCCCCTGCCCATGCCTCCCGCTCCTCCCTCCTTCTCCATCCTCGCTCTTTCCCCCTCTGTCCTGATCTCCTGCTCCTCCTCCTCCTCCTCCTCCTCCTCCTCCTCCTCCTCCTCCTCCTCCTCCTCCTCCTCCTCCTCCTCCTCTTCCTCCGGGGGTTCCCCTCCCTGCTGCTGCTCCTCGTCCTCCTCCTCCTCTTCCTCCTCCTCCTCCTCCTCTTCCTCCTCCTCCTCCTCCTCATCCTGCTTCGCTTGCTCATCCTCCTCGTCCTCGTTCTGCTCCTCATGCCCATCATAGCCCCCCAATCCGAGGCAAGCCCGGCGCGGCCCGCGGGGGCGAATCAGCAGCGCTCATCCCGCGCCGGCTCCCGTATCGGGCCACGCCTCGGTGGGTGCGGCCCGCGCAGAGGCGGCTAAGGGAGGGAGGGCCTCCTCGTACTTTGTTATCCTTCCCCTTCCCCTCCTCCGTCCCCCTTCCCCCTCCTCTTCTCCCCCTCCTCCTTCCCCTTCCTCCCTTCCTCCTCTCTCCTCTCTCTTCGTCCTCCCCCCCCCCGCTCCGTCCTGGTCCTTTCTCCTGCTCGTCCCCTCTTCCCCCCATTCCACCTCTTCCACCTCATCCTCAGTCTCCCCCCTCCTGCATCTACCTCACGGGGGGGCGGGGCACCAACCATGGGACGCAGGGCCCCTTTGCAGGCCTGCGGACGCCTGCGACGACCAGGGCGTGGCCCTGTCCAGGACGCAGCCAGGAACCCCTGTGCAAGCTCTTTCCAGTGGGGGCAGCAGCAAGTGGCACGCGCGCGGCTTCGAGATCGGGCCCCAGCGGCGAGAGGGCCAGGTCGGTGGGAGGGGGCGCGGGGCGTCTTGGAGACGTCTCGAGGCGGGACCGGGGGCAGTTGCGTCCCATTCCTGAGGCCGGCTGGGGCCTCCCAGGGCTTCTCTGCGGCCAGGAGGAAGCCCGGCGTCAGGGGGAGGCCGCGTGAGTGTGGAGAAGCAAGGCCTGTGCAAGATGACCGCGGGACAGCCATAAGACAACCGCGGACAACGGTGAGGCCTCAATGTAGAACTGGTCGTCGGGGCCATCCTCCTCCTCCTTCTTCTCCTCCTCCTCCTCCTCCTCCTCCTCCTCCTCCTCCTCCCCCTCCTCCCCCTCCCTCTTCCGTGAGTGTGGCGACGCTTACCCGGCCGGCCATTTTCGACCTCTGCCGATTTGGAGTTCCACGGCGGTGCGAGCCCTTGTCCGAGCTCGTTGCTACGGGGCGGCAGCGGCTTTTCAATGGTAGCGGTTATAGCCGTCTTGAGGGGAAGCGGATTTGATGTGCAGTCGGTGCAACGATAAGGGGGGGATCGACATAGGGGGGTTACATCGACCCCGAATCGCCCATTGATCATCGATAGGGGCCCGATAGCCCCAACCTGCACAGGGTGCGGATTCACTACCGGGGGCCCATCGCCGATCTGTCGGCGATGTATCGCCGATTCCAGGTCGGGGCATTCCCCCCCTATACCAGTCTCCCCCTATCGTTGCCCCTCAGGTGTGTATGGGCGCTTGCTCGCGGTAACAAAAACAATATAACTGCGGACAACCACAAGACAACCACGGGACGACCACCGGACAGCCGCGGGACAACCACCGGACAGCCGCGGGACAACCACGGGACAACGATCTGACAATCTGCAAGTTTCACCATTCATTGGCCGAACGTCCTATGAATCGATCTGTCGATCTAATTTACCTGCTGGCCTCACCGCTCATTTATATTTCACATAAGTGATCGATGTTCCAGGTCATCGGTGTCATCATCTATCGGTCTCGCTACGCATCGTATCACTATCCGTACGCTTGCAGATCGCGCTAGCCTTCTATCGGGGCAACCGTCGCGACTACCATCTGAACAATAATCGAGACCTCCATGTGGTCAAGCATCGGGGCAACCGCTGGGACAACCAGCGGGACAACCATCGGATCAGTCTTCTGGACAACCATCGGGAAAATTGTCGGGGCATCCAAACCGGACGATCATTTGGTCAACCGTTTGGTCGGCCATTGGGGCAACCATCGGGACAGCCATTGGGAGAGCCGCGGCCTGGAGGGAGCCTTTCTCGCCTTGCCTCGGATGTGAGATGGCCAGGAGCTCGCGCCGGCTTGCCCCGCCCACGCGCGCGACAGAACGACACGAAGCGATTTCCCAGTGGCGGCCCTCGACGGTTCCCGTAGGCCTCCCCCCGAGCCTTTGATCCGTGTCGAGAGGCATGGCCGTACAGCCAAAGGACGTGTCCAGCGAGGGCCCCGCCCCGAGAAGGAACAAGCAGGCCTCCGTCCGCTCGAGCGCTGCTCATGCCCGCGTTCGTGGCCACGCCTGTCTCGGAGGTGGACAGACCTCCTGCCGGGTGGGAGGTCTATCCACCTCCTGGCCCGTCGATGAAGGAATCGGCGGAGGTGGACAGACCTCCTGACGCGTCGATCAAGGGATGGGCGGTTTTCGGTTCGCCAGAGAGCGTCGCGGCCGTCATTTTTGCCGGTCCAGGTCTGCCGGTGTCGGTCCCAGGCTGGTTTCACTGAGGGGAGGTTCACTAAAGGCAGGTTTGTCTGCCGCCGATTGTTGAATTCGTTGCAAGTGGGAGCCCGAGATTGGAAAGATGCCGCTCCCAACGCGCGCGCCTGCCGCGCATGCTCAAGCCTCAGGGGCGGGCAGGTGCGAAGAAGTCTCCCGCGGGAGCCCGTCTCTGAGGAAAGCATCCGCCCTCCGCTCCCCGGCGGCCACGACGCGGAAATGTCGTGACCGTTGTTGGCGCAGGAGGGGCTCTGGATTTCGGCCCGTTCCTGAGAACCACGAGCCTCGTCAACACACACATTGAAGCGCCGTTTCAGAACCGAAGCGCCCGGTAGTCCGGGCACCTGTCAGGAAACGCGGTCTGCAATGCTGCGAAGGCATTGGCCAGATCTCGGACACCCTTCGAGTGGGCCAAACGCACCATGCCAGCATTGAAGTAGCGCTGACCGCGCAAGCGCCGAAGACAAACACCGTCAAGGTACAATTGACTAGTCCTGTAGGTCGTGGAGTTTTCCCCTGGTCAGGGCCCGCCAGGGTCAGAGAGAGAGAGAGAGAACAACGAACAACAACAATAATAGATAGCCAGAGAGAAGGAGGGAGGTAAAGAGAGAGATAGAGAGAGAGGAGGAGAAGGAGGAGGAGGCAAGCGAGGCACCCTCGCGCCATATCTAACATCCTGCCCCTCCCACCCATCACGTCTCACTGCGCTGAATGTTCTGTGCCCGTCGACCTGGAATTCCCAAGAAGGACTTAATCGTTTTATGCGCAATCTGGCCAGGAGGAGAAGAGGGAGGAGGAAGAGGAGGATGAAGAGGAGGAGGAAGACGATAAGGCCTCTTGGGTACTTTCTGGGGCCTCATGGGGGCCCCATGGAGACTTTTTGGGGCCTCTGAGGGTCCTCTTTTGGGCTTGGTGGGGCGTCTCGTGGGCTTGGGGGGGCCCCAGGCAGCCTCTTGGCATTCGAGGGCCGTCTTGGGGCCTTCTTTGGGCGATGCAGAGCCGCCTTGCAGGTCTGTGAGGCCGTTTTTGGCGCGTCTTGGTCCGTCTTGGGCCCCTTTTCCGTCTTGGGGCTTCTGGGGCCGGCTTAGGCAGCTTGAAATGCTTTTGGCTTGCTTTGGAGGCCTCCTTGACCGTTTTGATGAGTTTTATGGGGGGGGCCCTGTTGCACCCCGTCTTGGGGCCCTTTTGGCTTTGGAAATTTCACGCAACAGCACGCGGGGGTACACGGGAAGCCCAAGAAAGCTGTGAGGTTGGGGCCCAGGCCCTTGAACAGTCGCTCCTCAGGATGGAGGCTGGCGAGCTCAAGGGATCTGAAAACATTCCAAGTCCGTGCGCCTCGCATTCTCCCACCAGCCCATTCACAAACGCTGCCGACAAACGGAAGGAAGAGACTCAAATAGTGTGACAGAACAAGCAAACCAGGTTGAATTGAGAGATCTCTTGGAGCAAGGGGGGTGGCCCCGGAGGGCCTCTTCGGGCCGTTTTTTTTTTCGGGCCGTCTCTGGGGCCTTGCGAGGTTCGTGCCTCGCGGCAAGGTGGTAGATCCTGGATCATGAGGTCATGGAAGGAACTCCCATACGAGACACACGGCCCGCCCTACCGACACGCCAGGTGTCGCGACGAAGAGACGTTATTGTTGAATCCTGAAATCGATGTTGTCAATTTGGATTTCCCATTTGGTGCCCATCATGTTTTTCAATTGAAGTGCCCACCCCAGGCTCGCACCCTGTTCTTTTTGTGAATCATAAATTCATTTCTGCAGCAGGAAAATCATGAGGCGCAGTACGCATTGTTTACGCTTCTACGCCTCTTTGCTTACACGCCTTGCTCACACGCCTCTGCCTGCGGGCGCGTGGCTCGCGCGCTTCTGCCTGCTTCGCGGGGGAAGCGGTTCCTTGGCAGTGCGGCGGAAGAGTTCTGCGCGAAACGGCGGAAGTATTGATGTGGTGGGGGCGGCAGCTTTGCAGCTTGCCGCCCCGGTGTTCCCTCCTAGATGGTGCAACCGGGGCGTGCTTGTCGCCCTCAGTCGCATGCGGCCTGGGGGCTGGCACCCCGCGCCTCGCCCGCGGCGCCTGGGGGCTGGGACCCCAGGTGCCTCTGGCTCCTTTGCGTCTCGCGGTGGCGTCTGGGGGCCAGAGTGTTTGCTGAAAGGGGCTGCGCCTACTGCTCCTCGTCAGGAGCTTTGTCTGTACGCCCGTTCCCCTATGACGCCGTCTGCTGGCCTGGGTAGTGCACTCAGGTCGCAGACGGGGATAGGGGGCGGCAGGGTCTTCTGTTTGTTTCCCGAAACAGCACTTCGCTGTCAGCGCCGTGTCACGTTTGCTCTGGGCTTTCGCTGCTGGTTTCCGCTCTTTGACCGGAATTGCGCCCCGCCGCCAGGCCGGTCTGGCACGCCAGGTTTACGCTGCTGCTCCTCGTCGTCACATCGGCCTGTTGGCGCCTGGGGGCTGGGGCCCCAGGTCGCGCGTCCTTGGGGGCTGGGACCCCGGGCGCCGCTGCACGGCGCCTCTTGCGCCACGAGAGCTGGGACCTCGGGCGCTGCGCGCGCGCGCGCTTGCAGGGCAAACCCTAACGTGCCCAAACGCCTGGGGGCTGGGACTCCAGGTGCCTTTTGTACACGCCGGGGGCTGGGACCCCGGCTGCGTGCCCACGTGGGCTTTGCGGGCAGACCGGCCCAGGCGCTTGGGCCGCTTGCGCGATCAGTGCGTGCGTGAGCCGTTGCAACGGCAAACCTGCCCATGCAATCGGGGGCTGGTACCCCGAGTGCCCGTTCTACACACATGGGGGGCTGGTACCCCCTGGCAAACTTGCCGCGGCTTGTGGCTGAGGCTGCCAGGGCAACTGCCCAACGCCTGGG